AACATGGCGCTTTAAAAGGGTTAATTTTTCAAGGCCGAACATCAGGATTGAGAAAACCGCGGCTTCAGTATGGTGATCTTTGTTTCTATCCAAATAGATCGGTTTACCAAATTTTACAAGTCGCCCGAAGTTCACAGATACCAGCTTCAAACGCCGCTCTACTTCCATATTGCAGCTTCCATCTTTTACCAGTACGGAGCCGAGGTACCTGAAATTTTCGACCTCTTCGATGGCTGATCCACTCTATAAAATCTTTGGGTTGTTAGTCCAGTTCGGTGTTCGCAAGATCTGCGTTCTGGTGGGACTCGAAACTCTGATTACATGTGATTAGAATGCAAATTCTTTTAAGATCTGAAACAAACAGTATGTAAGAAAAAAAGTACTTCACTGAAGAACTCTTGAATTAAAAGTACTTGAACAGAATTTACGAAAAGTTCGGGAAAGACTGAGCACTTTAATCCGCTGCAAAGAGTGCGAAGTTTAGAACACATTCTGAAGATGACCGCCAGACGTTGAGCAAATTACTTAGCAAACAGATCAGATCAATTATCAAGTTCATCGTTAAAGTTTTTTGTAAACTTATGAAAAATTCCAGTAATACACTATTGATACGCGTCCTGACAATTTGCTTTACAGCTGTTTCACAGAAGGAAAACGGTTTCAACAGTTTTACAAATACACCATAGGCGGAGAACTCGACCCCGCGGGTAAACCGGTCCTACGGTGATCAAGAGTTTATAGGTCCTGTCGGTGGTTGCAGCTGCGATGGAAGTGTTGGCCGATCTTCAAGCTTTTCATATTCTAGGAGCATATCTTTGGCGATCTGAAACAAGAAGCAAATATAATAAAAGAAATAAACAAACAATAGCAAATAGGATATGCCGAATGAAAACACTGATAAACAAATTATCTTTAACCAGCATCTGCCGCAAAATGCATGCAAACAAAGCATCGATTTAAGCTGTCGACAGATTTGTCATCTAAAACTGCTGTGGTTTCTGGAGGCTGTTCGGTCAAACTTCCAGTTGGCAAGCGCAAATGTCTTTTCAGAGCATCGGTTGGCGACAATCTGTCACGCTGACGCGTCTATTTCACAATCGATTTTGTCAATAAAGTCCTCTTTTATGATTTGCATTTTCATTAATGTCACCCTAATATCAAGAACCACAGCTTTACAATCATTTGACTTCTAATTTGATTCTCGTACCATACTAGCGAATCAGTAGTTAGACATAACAGCAGACTGAGATCAAAAACTTTAACTGCCAACGTTTCATCTATGCAAAACTGTCCACCCTCTCAGCAAACAGCGAAGGTGGCCAATGCCCTCCCTCCCCGAAGATGATTAATGTCGACTGACCAAAACGCTGAATAAAAAGAGTTCAATCAACATCAGTTTCTTCCATGCAGTGTCTAGCACTCACAGAACAATAAGAACTCGATGTCTGCGTATAAAGCTAAATAAGGTCAAAACTATCTACCTAAATATAAATATTAGTTAACTTTTTTTCCATTTCTGGAACAAAAGATAGCCTTAAATGTGCTTGTTTTTAACCATTAATTCTATAAGTCTACAAGCAAAGCTATAATCAACTTGATATTAAAATTTTCAACAATGGAGTCATGGTAAAAATGCGATACAGAAAAATTCTAAACAGCGTGTGATATGGACTAGTGGAACAAAAGTACAACAAATTCAAAATTGAAAGGAAACTGGTGAAAATCCTCAAGAGAATGGCAACTGAAAATGAGTCTGAGAATCAGAGACTTTCAGGGTTGAACAGATGTCCACAGAGCTTGTGCAACTGCTGTACATTCTTCGCTTGGTGAATAAGTATTCAAGAATTCAATAGGCAATATATCAGCTTGTCTCATTCGCAGCCAAGAATCATGACTTTTCTGAAACTGTATTTGCATGCTAAACAGTGTAACAATGTCGAAACTTCCTGAACCGTTCTTCTGATTGCATCCTAGTGTTTCTTCATCATCACTTTGACGGATCTCATCAACTTTGCCGACTTACTACCTGTTGCAAAGGGTTATGAGATTCTCGCACTTCCTGTCACTGCTTGCCATTATATTCTGTCCTATGCAATATCCGATACGATCGCAAGTCAATCCTTGTTCCGCTCAGCTTACAACTTGTCGATAACTGCAGCCTAGCTTATATATATGATATACTTGAATCATAAACCCTTTATGACCTGCCCCTGGTCTTTACCAGGATGGGTTCTGCACACTACGAATCATGATGCTGATCAGTCGCTTGTCGTAAGGCAGTTATGTACGATCGAGCGATCTAGATGTCCGTCCAAAATAAAGTCCATTGCAACTATCACAAGCAATTTTAAAAACAAAGTTAGTTTTTTTTCGGAAGTAGCTGTTAAGTTCAACTTATTATACCATGAAACCAAATGAATTCTGAGTTTTGTAAAGAAGTCTTGTCTTTACAAGTAACATTTAAAGGCAATGGAAACATGGAGATTAGTCATGACTGCTGTTAGAGCTTTTCATCGGGACTATATGTGGAACAAAAACAGTTGAAGTCAAGCGAAATAGAGGTCTCGTGAAGAAGGAAGCCAAAACATCAGAGTAAAGTTTGAAAGAAGAAGGAAGGCATCACGCCTAAAGTCATCTTTTGTTAAATTAGACAAGATTTATTTCGTAAGTGAGCAATAAAATATACTTCAAAATACTTCCATATGCTTTCTTGTTTAACTTGGAAGTTAAACTTCCTTCAAAAAACACCTTATGAATCTTGAATCAATTTCCCACCTCCTCACTCCGCAATTCAGGGACCAGAAGTAAATGATGGACATACGAGCAACATGCTCAGCAGCATATTAAATTAGCTGTTACGTTTCCATCACTCGATGACACCAGATCATGCTATG